CGAGTTCCTAAGGGGTGATCGACACGATGCCAATGGGCGCGGAGGTAATCCCGAAGGTCCCCTTTCTCCTCTCTCGTCCTCCTCCTTCTCCTCCCTCCCTGACAAGGTTTGCTATTTTTGCGAGGTCATTTCGAGAGTCTATTCGGTCCCTATGCGAGTCATGCGACCAAGCGGGGAAGGATATGTCGAATGGATAGATTGTCAGCGATACGTTTCACGAGCCCATGGCTCCTATATCCAGTATCGGGATGTGGACAAACCCTCACTGTGTCCTCTGTGTCACACCGACAAAATACCGACGGAGGCTCGATTTCTCGAAGCCACGTCGGAAGGACTAGAAAAGACCCGACGGTTTAGAGGGGCTGAAGTATGGACAAATGTCGTCCTGATAGCCACGGTGGTTGGAAACCCTCTTCGAGACTTCACTAAGGAGGACAGGAGACGGGCCAACGAGAGGGCTCGGGATTACCGATGGAATGAGGGACAGTTAGAAAAACGAAAAACGGACGGAAGCAGGATTTGGATGTCTGTCCCGCATTCGTTCATGAGGTACGACTGGGTTAAGTCAGCCCACGAGGAAACTGCGGCTCATTTCGTTGTCAAAATCACGGAGGCAGCGATTGATAAAAACGAATGGTATTGGTCCAACATTCACGACGATGTCAAGTTCATCATCCGAAATTGTCAGGTCTATGCCGCTGACAAGGCGCCGATTGAGCCGCCTAGGTCAATAGTGCCTACCGTAGTTGAACGGTCATTCCAGAGGGTTAGTATGGACACCACAGATATTGTCGTTCCCCCTGGACCTAATAGCTGCGAGTATTCAATTCTACTGGTTTTTGTATACTATTTCTCGAAATGGACCGAGGCCTATCCTTGAAAGACGCGACAGGCATCCGAAATCGCGCGATACGTCAACCGTTTTCTCGGGATGCACCAGGACACAAAGGAGATCCTGACGGACAACAGGGTAGAATTTAGAGGGGAAGTTTTGAGGAACCTAGTCCTGCATGGCGTCTCCATCCGCAACACTGCTCCCCACATGTCGCAATCCAACGGACTAGTGGAGAACGCCAATCGAGTGATTAAGATCGCCTTGTGACGCAATATCGCGGCGAATGACACGAGGCATTGGCCCGATATCGTGGACCATATCCTCGCTATCCACCTGGGGACACCCCACGAGTCCACGGGTCTGACCCCCTTCCAACTACGGACTAATAGCCTGCCCTGTGTAGCCCTACCGAGCCTAAATGATGAGACGACCCTGTCTGACGGCGGGGGAACTTAAGAAATCCGGAATTCCCCTGTCTGACAAAGAACGATCGATTGTACGCAAGGGACTTGCACTTTGGCCCCTACTATCCTGATACTTATAACACGCAATATTTCATATCTCCCGGCTTCGTCGTTATTACTACCAGTTTTCCTCCCTTTCACCTCCTCCTTCCATATCACCAACTCATGGTGGTGCCGTGGAATTCCGTAGCCCGCTATTGGCCCCGCATACCGTGCGAAAAGTATCGGCGGCACCAGCCATACCGAGGTTCGGAAATCGCTCGGCAAGCCCAAACCGAAGCCGAGCGGCGCCGACAACTGGTCGAACCGCGCGACCAACCACGAAGGTGAAACCAGAGGAGATGGTGATCCCCATTTTTCATACTTGGAAATTGAGTTCGTTGGCAGGGGCAATGTTGTTGGGATTTTGTTCGAGAATGCAAGAGTGTTTAGATATGTCGGTACTGTGACTGTGGAAAAGTACACCGGGGCGCGGGATCTTTAGTCTGGGATGCACTGTGCATGCCATCTTCCTTATGCTGCACGACGTCTGCGGCTTTCCCTTCCGTGCACAAACCCCGAAAGGTGACCTGCCTTCCTTCTTATGAAAACTAAAGCGCCAAGTTCGCAGCCCTTAGGCTGCGGTATAATGGGCTTCCACGTCTGTGTCAAGGTGTTGCATTTTTGGCTGCGGGCGACCAGGACGCAAAGTGGGTTCTTAGGGGGCAAAAAAAATTGGGGGACCGGTCCTTG